TTTTTTTTACCCCCCTCCCCCCCCCCCCCCCCCCCCCCCGTTTGGTCCCAGCTGCTTAGTGACTTATTCACAAGGTAGAAAAGAGAACCACAAGGCAGAAACCCTGTTAGAGGGCGCCTGACGCCACCCCGGGATGAGAAGTGGTGTTTTGGGGGCGTTCCATTACATTTGGTCAGGGTCATCTTATGACACCAGAGGCGTCACTAAGATTGGTGTCACCCGGTGGGGTTAAACGCTTGATGTCTCGCCCACCTGACACTACTGCACCGAGTCAAACAGAATCGCATAAGGCCTTTTTTGTGGAAATTAAGCCCTAAAGCAATAAGGGGTCGTCTGAAAATTACGTCTCGCCCAGTGGGGGAGGGAGGGTCAAGATTTTTTACACTTTGTGACAGAGGGGGGAGGCACGACCTACTAGAACTCTAGTGGGTCATGGAGGAGGGGGGGGGGTCAACAATTTGTGACGTCACAAATATTATTATTTTTATTTTATTTTAAATCTAAAATATTCTACTTTTGAATAATTTTTATTCAATTAAATTTAAAAACATTAATTTGAGGTCGAAATTGTCTCTGGTATTGTAGGTACCGCGAAACTCAGTCGCGCACACCTTCTGCGCATACAGAAAAGTGATCCAAAAACTGTTGTGGCCATTTTACATTCGGCTCGGTGAGGACTTCGTTGTTTTGGATTTAACGTCACAATTTTCTCATGATACTTCTTCTTAATCCATTATGGGAAAATTTAAAAGAATACAATTAATCTTAGTTTAGTTATGAACATTTAATGTATTTCTGAAATTTTTTAGGTGTGACGTGACACACTTAAAGGTGGGGGGGGGGGGTAAAGAATTTGTGACATGTTGAAATTTAATACAAATCAAGGTTTTTTTAAATAGATTACATGCCCGGAATCAGTTAAGCCCATAGGGTAAGTGCCGCCTCGACGGGACAAGAATTTTGCCCCCCCCCCCCCCCTAAAACATGCAGTTGGCCGAAAATTCAAAGCCTTTATATAAAGATGAAAAGTACCCTACCACCTCCACACCGTACCCTACCACCTCCACACCGTACCCTACCACCTCCACACCGTACCCTACCACCTCCACACCGTCCTACGTCCATCACTGCATCTACGGACTTGAGAAATAGATTGCTATCTCCTGGGGTACTATCAAAACGCCTACACATCTTTTTGGTGGCCGTGCCTTGGAAATATAAATATTTCCTGATGGCCGCTTGTGAGCAGTTATGATGGGAAATGACAAAACAATGAGCCATGAAAACATTCAGCTAATCTACCACGTCAGCAAGGTCACATTAACGGGCTGGACCTCTGGAGACGCTAAGAGTGAAAGAATTACTTTGCAGAAAGTGGCGTGGCTAGCATTGCAGCCCTGGGCGGGTCAAGCTTTTTTTATCCCCATATCCCCCTCCCCCCCCCCCCCCCCCCCC